AAGGTATAGAACTATGGTTGGACGACTGGAATCTCTTGCGACTCACGAAGAAGACTGCCCCAAGCGTCAATCTAAGCATCCCTAGGGACATCGAAACTAAAACGCCGCAGGGCCTGATGAAAATTCAGAATGTCACCCGAGAGGTTGCTCAGGTTGATGCTTCGTGGATGCGCGTCGTTGAGTGGAACCCTAACGCCAGCATCTTCCGGGAGGGGCTCAGAGATACCACGGGTTCTTTGCGTACCTTCTTCTCCAGACTCACAGGCCAGAGTGCCCCCGAAAAGCCAGTGAAGCCGGAACAACAGGATAGCTCCACTGACACTGGAGAGATGACCAAGACCTTGACTGCCTCGGTCTTTCTACATATCAACACCGCCAGCCTCCAAGCTTCTGTCAGTCAGTCTTTGAGCAGCGAACTTGAACGAGCTACACGAAAACCTCCCCCTAAGCGATCCACCATCGCTATCTTGACCCCCTCATATGATACAACCCTGGCTTCTGGTGCCTCCGGCCTACAGTCAGAGGTCCTCTCCTCTATCCTTCCTTCTAAGGCTGGCAGGGTCTTCATAGGTTTTCCCACCCATCAAACAACAGGCCTTAATGCGCATATCTCTGCTCCTTCCGTCATTCCTACAGTGGAGCGGGAAAGTATTGATCTCAATACTCGCTACATCAGCAAGTGGAATCTCGAAATGCTGAGGGCTGCAGGAATTGTCTGTCGGATCGCATGGACTGCCGAGATGGCGTCCATCAAAGCTAGGATATATTCTGGGAAGGAATCCTCGAAATCCATGAAGGTGCGGAAGGATGATATAGCGGGTGTTCTTCCAGAAGCCATCCACACTGCAAACCAGTTCGTATTCCGTGAATCGACGCCATCGTCACTTCTTGGGCAAACCATCGAAGACGCATTCTGGACGTGTAACAAAAGCGCATCCATTGAGGTCCTTTCAACATGCGGTATTATTCAGAGCCATCAGGCACGTCTTGCCCCGAAGGACCTCAGCTTCATGGATTCTATACCAGTTCTGCCCGATGAGTTTGTATCGGGTGCAAGGGATTTCGTCAAGAAACTGACGGATTTCGGCCTGGTTACTGATATTACGGTCTCCGACATCAAACGAGAACTTGAGACCAGCACACTACGGTCCGGCCAGGTTATTGAATTCCTTGCCTGGTTAGGTCGAAGGGCTGCCTCGGGCCAGCTTGATCCATACTCTATACAAAGCCTGCTGAGTGTAGCAGTTGCAAATGAAGAAGATGAGAGCAGCCCCCAGAATAGACTGGTTGTTTTTGGCAGCATCGACAGTTATCTAAGTCCTCAAAAGATACCCGTCAATCTGCCTGTTCCACCCACTGTGGCGCCTTTCAAATTTACTAAGTCTCTTGGGAAGCAGGAGTTGGAGGCTTTTGGCTGGACGGAACTTCAGATAGTTCCGTGGGTGCGTTGGCTAGTCTGCAATTCTGCTAATCGGAATCTCTTGCCCTTGGATCAGGATATCACACAGAGTCCCTCATTCTCTGCGCAGGTCTTGCCGGTTCTTTCGAAGCAATGGGAGTATCTGAGCCAGACAGCGAAGCAATCAGTGATCAACCAGTTACAGTCCCATACTGTGATCCCTACTAAACTAGGGATGAAACTGCCTGCCGAGACCTACTTCTCTTCTGTCCGGTTGTTTGATGACCTTCCCGTCATACATGGCCTAAATGGAGTTAAAGAGAAATTCCTGGCAGCGCTCGGCGTTCGTAAGACAGTCGAGCTCGGTGTCATCTTCGAGCGTCTTCTCGATACTACGGAAGCATCCGATGGCCCTAACAACACTCAGAGAAAATGGAGTCATGTCGACTTAATACGATATCTAGCTTCCGTGCGCGATGATATTCCTGCGAATGATATCAAACGACTCAAAAACACCAGCTTATGCACCGCCGAACCGATCGACGGCAGTGGGAATGGTGATCTTAAAGCAGCTAATCGCAAGCGCTACAAGATTTTTGAGCTGTTCGAGCCAAAGGACTCGCTCAGAGCTCTGGGGTTGCCTATCATTGAATGGCCAGGTCGGTATCAGCCCAGCAGCAACGAAGGAAAGTTTTTGTCTATGTTAGGACTCAGGAGTTTTCCGTCAGCTTCTGAGCTTATTCAAATCATGGCTAAGGCGGCCGTGGATGGTAACTGGGTTCTCCATACAAAAGCGATGTCGTACTATATTGCCGAGTTTCATACAAGTGGCTATGCGATGTTTGACTGCAGTACAGTGAATGTCCCGTTCTTGCCCGTTGAAGGATCGCAGGGGTTGACTGTTCCGAGTAAATGTTTCACTGACGATGGTGCGACCTTGTTTGGCTTCGCAATCCTTCGCATGGACCTGCATCCACATGCATCCAAGTTTGGGGTTAAACAACACCCGGCTCTGAGCGAATGCATCGATTGCCTTATACGTCAGCCACCGTCCACGAAGCGTGACGCAAGGGTCATATTCAAGTACCTAGCTGGGCGGGTGTCTGAACTGAGTGGGCGGGATATAGATCGTGTTGGCAGTGCGCAGGTAGTCCCCGTCTCGACTATACAGGATGAGATGGAAAAGAAGGTTGTGCGTCGCGTAGCACCCAGACTTTGTTATCTTGGTGATGGCGAGGATTACAAAGATATCTTCGACTTCGTTGACTTTGGTCAAGAGGCGAACCTCTTCCTCATGGCCGTCGGATCCAAACGTGAGCCCACCAAGGTGGAAATTGCACGCATGCTCGTAAAGGAACCGGCTAGGATATCAGCCTCTTTTCAAAGTGCTGATAAATATCTCAAGTTACTGAGGACACTTTCTGAGCATGTCTCGACCTTGAAGAGGGATCGCGAACTTTTTCAAGAAATGAGGAGGTCGGCTTTTTTGCTCGCAAGCAGGGATATTACTTCCCTGGCACAGGAGCAAGCCGCCAAAGATGACCACGTGTCTGACGATGAGGATGAAGATCAAAGCATTAAGGAATGGACTCTGACGGTTGCGAAGGATGCGGTCGTGGTAGACGATTTCCAGAGCTTCAATCTTTTCAAGGAACATATACTAGCGGCACCTCAGGAAGAATTGCTGGAGAACTTCTATCAGTCTCTGGGGGCTTTACCGTTGAGTGGCCTTGTCGAAGAGCGTGCTCACTGGGGCGCTGTAGCTGCCGATCAACGTCCAGCCGCCAAGCTGCAAAAGCTGATCAATGAACGCTCGCGGCTGTTCTTACATGACCAGTCTCCTGATCTGATCCGGCATGATGTGCGGTGGCTAGAGAAGCATTTGCAAGTTCAGGTAGTGCATTCCATCTCTCTAACTCGCTCTCTTAAGGGTCGTCGGATATCCCACACCCAAAAGCGAAGCGCAATCATCACTCAACAGGGAAGAGACTGGCTCTTGTGGATCTGCCCGGGCAAGTATGACCTCTACGAAATTAGCCAGGCTCTGGTCCACCTAATCCTTGTTCGGCCGAAGCTCCATTCAACCCTTACCTTGGAGATGCTGCTGAAGACTGATCTGCTGGAGCTCAAGGCTCGCGGGTACAATGTGGAGCGCATTCTCAAACAAAAAGCACACGAGGCTAGGATGGCAGAGGATAGGCGGCAGAAGCAGCTGGAGGAAGAGCGTCAGCGTCTGCAAGAGAGAGAAGCTGCGTGGGCTCAGGAACAAGCCCAGATACAAGCACAACCTCATTCAGCGCAAGACGAGCGAGAGCAGTTAATGCCGGGAGATTTCCCCGACTCGCCGTCTGGCAAGAACAGCACCCGTGACGTTCAGCCGGACGGACCTGACCAATCCCAAGATCGACGGCCACGCGGGTTCTTCGCCAACCTCTCCAAGCGTTTTGGGCTCGAGGGCAACCGGTCGCCCTGGAATGCCCTCAACGGAGAGCAATCTCAGCCCTCCCGTCCTGAATCCTCAGAGACTGCCACCCCTCCCCCGCCTTACTCTGCCGAAGATCCTCAGAAGACTCGCTCGGAAGCTCCTGTCACGGTTAATTCACCCCATCGACTCCAGTCGGAGCTGCTCTCCGCCATCCAGGCGTGTCGGCCTCATGGATCTTCTGATGTTTATAGCCGGCCTGAGACGAACCAGATCACCGAGAAGAAGTCCTACTGTGATGAAAAGCCCAGTCATGATTTAGAGTTTGTCGCGACGCTTGCATGTGGGATTCACGTATTATTTGTGAAGAACCTCCCGGACCGCAGTCAATTCTTGGCCAAGAATAGCGTGGGCATTAATGTCTTTGCTTCAATGCTAATGGATTGTGCCGGGGTATTCTCGCTCCGGTCAGACATCCTCAGTATCTTCTATGATCCCGGGGGCAAAACAATCGCCTTTAACCGGGCCGGCAGTGTATTCTGCAATTACTTTTACTTCCAACAGCTTCACGAGAAGCAGCTGCTTGCAAACCCGACTGCCGACCGAGCGGATGCACTTGTATACTGGTGGGTGATCCTATGCCACGAACTGGCCCACAACCTGGTGGAGGACCATAGCTCTGCCCACAGTTACTATACGTAAGTTTGCTCCCGCAATAGCTCCGTTTCTTTTCATTGGTCTTGATAACATGGCTGACAATGTTTCTAGCGAAAGCTTTGTCGCGCAATATTTCCCCAAGATAGCAGCCAAGCTCGCGAGCGCAGGTAGAGCTGCTCCAGAATCGAGGGGCTAATCCAGCAATGTGTTTAGGACTTAGATAGGAGTTATTGTATATCAACCTAACACAGACGGCCAGGTGCCGACATGTACATATTACGAGATAGCTAGACGCTCAAATATTTGCTTAGATCCCCATCAGTTTGTAGTGTCCAGACCCATTCCATCCGGGCTATAGCTAGTGATGCAAACCGGACAAACACTGGTATCACCTCCGCGGAGAGATGCGCGGGCCTACAATCTTCATGATCTATCCAGAGGTCTCAATTCAGCTGCGTCGTCTCTACTGCAGCAATTTCTGGCCATCATCCGAGGGAGTAACACGTTTCAGACGGCGACCTCATGGCGGGCACACCTGACGCCTCGATGGAGGAAATCCTCTGGCGGTCCCCGCCCCACGTCCAAATGATGGGAGGATATCTCCACTCCAACAACAGTATGAGATTTGGATCCTATAACAACAGAAGCAGCCAACTAACACTGTTAATGTATAAACAGTTCTTTTCTACTTCGCAGAGTCACCATTTTTTGACCCGACGTCGAATAACGCCTCACTGGCCATCCAAGCGAACTACAATGAAGCTTTCCGGCACTTTGTGGAGACGCGCGAGGCCTTCGAGGGCCGCCTGAAGACTATGCAGGGCTTGGAATTCGTGGTTTCATATGATCCCATTCAGGCAGCAGCACAACCTGATGGTCGATTTGCACACGAGCCGTCGAACATTTGGGTGATTCGCAAGCAGAACCGGCGCAAGAGGACCGGCCTGGACGATGAGGTGGCGGTTTTATCAACGTACTTTATCGTGGGAGACTGCATCTACATGGCCCCGTCGGTTGCGAGTGTAGTGGGAAACCGCATCGTACGTCACATCGGATCTTGTTTTGCTTCCAGTATATCCTATAATGCTGATGCTAACCCCGACTTCTTGCGCAGCTGTCCGCAGTTACGTCTCTCACCAGCTTGCTAAAGACAGCATCTACACTCCCAACCTTCACCCCGTCCCATGGCCATACTTACATGCCGCCTGCACTCAAGCAAGCAGACGCAAGTCAACCTGGCACCCAATCGCAGCAGAGCAAGGAAAACACACCACTGCCAGACGCCGATGCAGCTGGCAAAGCCTCACTCGTTGGATCTTCACAGATGGTCGGCGCTGGTTCTAGCCTGCAAGACACGCGGACACTCGCAGAGTCATTCAATCTGCTCCGAAGGTATGGGGATGAGTTCATGGACGAACATCCGTTGGTGGGAGAGCCCGGATCATTCATCCTATCCCGAGTCAATGACACAGACCGAACCTCGGCGGCGAAACCGCCAGCCACTGCCGCGAAGGTTGGAACGCCGCAGGTCCGGGTTGATACACCGGGAAAGGTATCAGAGAAGGGGGCGACGCCATCGGGGTCCGAAGAGAATAAAATGCGGAAGAAGAAAACTAAGGTTGGCAGTTGAAGTGGGAGGACAGAATAATGATACCCTAATGATCATGAGAGCAGGATTCTCTCATCCCAATTCCATTCTAGACCTGGATAGCTAGATCTCTTATTCAATCTACAATTGAATTTGGCTCTTACCATCCTCTCCTTTTTACCGGCTTATCACCATAGAACCCTTTCTGTAACAGAAGCAAGGACAGCAGAGCAACCCCGCACGGCTACCCAATCCAATCCCAGTGACAGTCAAGTATCTCTGAGTCATTATCACATCTTCATCGCAAACTCTCATATTATTCGCCTGCTATAAAATCAAACTGAGATGTCCTTCCCATCATGATTACTACCTCCACGTTTACCCTCGAAGTGTCTTGTGCAGTCTGTCCGCATTCGGATCCAGAACCGCAGCTTCAAGAAATCGGTTACATCACTGCACCGACATCTTAGACCATTGGACTCGGCCAAAACCCCCATCGAACTTCTCCTCTCCATTCTGAGAGCGACAAGAGCGAGTCTGTATCTTCCTCATCTGTAGCAAGTAGTTTCAATAAGTTCAACGGCATCATGGGCTTCGAGAATGGGACTAAGCCCGCGGTGGTCTGCGTATTGTAAGTCACCAGCATATCATATCATATCATCTCCAGCCCTCACCCCGCATACTCAATCCTTTCGCCACCAACCACGAAATTTATAACGAAACTCCCAAACTAACCAACCCATTACAGCTGCGGCTCCGTCTCCGGCACAAACCCTCGCCATATGGAAGCCGCGCGCCAGCTGGCGCACGAATTCCACAAGAACAACATCCACCTTGTGTACGGCGGCGGCACAGCAGGCCTAATGGGCACAATAGCCCGCGAGCTGGTCAAACTATCCGGCCCGCAGGCCGTGCACGGCGTGATCCCCCGCGCATTAGTAAAGGTAGAACCGGGATACGACAATGCAACGGAACATCCCACAGACACAGATTCAACTACAGGAATCCAGCAAGCGCGGTCCGGTAAGGACGCGGAACGAATCATCCCAGCCGCTACTACCAATGGAACTACTACAAAGGCGAAGGAATCTATGTTTAAGGAATCCGAGTACGGGACGACCACGATTGTGGCGGATATGCATGCGCGAAAGCGGCTTATGGCGACGAAGGTGCAGGAGGGAGGGCCTGGGTCTGGGTTTGTGGCGTTGGCGGGGGGGTTCGGGACGATTGAGGAGGTGATGGAGATGACGACGTGGAATCAGTTGGGTATTCATGGGGCTGGGGTGGTGGTGGTTAATGTGGATGGGTATTGGGATGGGGTGTTGGCGTGGGTGAGGAAGGCGGTGCAGGAGGGGTACATTGGTGAGGAGAATGGGAGGATCTTGGTGGAGGTGAATGATATTAAGGATGTTTGGCCGCGGTTGAAAGGGTATAGGGTTAGTAATGGGAGGATGAGGTTGAATTGGGGGGAAGAATAAGCGATATCTAGTAAGTTAGTAGGACGGTTAGTTGTAGATGTGGGAAAGCCGAGTGTGGTTATATATATATAATGGTATCAGGTGTGTGAAACGTGATATTATTCCGGAATCGTGACTACCAAATCAATGATGTATCTGTTGCATCTTGCTTCTCCTATGAATCAACCTCCATCGTCTCCTCATCTTTCGTCTCGCCCGCATCCGCCTGCTCCAGTGCCTCCAGCAGCGGCACCAGCTGCTGCCCCTCGTACAGCTTGAAGCTTTCGATCTTCCCCGGGGCACCTTCGCCCGCAAGCCCCACCACACCCACGGATGTGTTGTCCACCGTCAGCTCCTTGTCCTGAGACAGGGACTCCTTGAGTGCCCGCAGGCCGTGCGTGATGAGCTCATCGCGCGACGAGGCCTCCAGCTTGTCCAGATTCCGCTCCAGGTAGGTCCGAGCCATCTGGGAGCGGGCTCCGATGGCGCATGCCACCATCTCATGGGTCATACCGGAGGGTTGAAATTCGAAAAGGTGCGGGCCGGAGTCGTCGACACCGGCGACAAGCAGACCGACACCGTAGGGGCGCTTGCCGTAATGTTGAGTGTTCGTTTGGGCGCGGTCGCCGATCTGACTGACAATGCGGTCGACAGGGAGCGGACGGCCGTAGGTCATGCGGGAGCTGAGCGACTGCTGCTTCATGAAGTTGGAGAGCACCCGAGCGTCCGATGCCAGACCGGCGATGGCGATGCCCATGTGGGAGTCGACTTCGATGATCTTCTTCTGGTACGAGGACAGCTCTTCGGCATTACGCTGGAGATTTGTCTGTCAGCTGAATGTGCCCCGGGGAGAGAGAAGTGCCAGGATATAAGTGAGATGTCGAACCTTGAGGCCGACCAGCACGGCATGTGTCTTGTTGACGAGTCCCACTACGACGGAACCTTGCTTGACGGCTTCTTGTGCATATTCGACTTGGAAGATCCGGCCTTGCGGGGAGCTGTAGAGAGCTATGTTAGTAATCTGATAGTATCGGGAGAACAAAACTTTGTTCTAGTGGATGAGGGAGCTTGGGGGAGGTCCATACAAGGTGACCGCATCGTTGTCGTAGTTGTTTCTGAACATGGCGGAAGCTTGGGTAGGAGAGACTCAGAAGGGTGATGAATAGGGGTCTCTGTCAGTTCAATGGAAGAAACCAAGGAGGAGATTGAGTCTCAACAGGAAAAATAGAGGAATTAAGGCGATGAAGTAGGGAGCAGGAGTGGATGGGAGAGAGATATGGAGCTGGAGGGCAGGCAGAGAAGCACTGACGCGGTAGTACTGAGAGTAACTCATGCTTAAGGCTAAGCTCTCACTGCTTGGCTGGCCCGCTGCCTCAGGCCGCCCGCCCCATCATCCACTTCCGCTGCACGTCACTGCCTTCCCATTCATTCATTCCATTCCAATCTCCTGCTTCATCCAAGGCTTTGGCCGTCCTCGGTTTGCGGTGCTCCTCTTGTCGCCATCTCGTCTTAATACCCATGTTACTTTGACTCTGCTATCCTTTCCACAAGCTTTACTAGTCAAGCTTCGTTGGTGTGAAGCTCCTCCCACTTCTGCCTGTTGTCGTGGACTCTGAACGGTCCTACTCCGCAATCATGACCGCCGGACTCAAGACGATCATCGCCCTCTCCTTCGTATGTCTTCTTTGGAGCTATATTGAAGCTTATTTGCTTCTGCTGTTTGGGACTCTTGCTAATTGCTATCCCGGCATAGGTTCTCGCCATTGGCTTCCTGCTTGTTATCCTGTCATCGGCGCTCTGGCACAACTTCCTCCCACTGGTCGTCGTTGCGACTTACGTGGTTGCTCCCCTGCCCAACTGGATCTGCTCGCGATGCGCAAACCCCGATGATTTTATGGACAGCTCTGGCAATGCTGCTGCTGATTTTGGTCGTTTCCTCACCGGCTTCCTGGTGCTGATGGGTATTGGTGAGTGGATTTCTCGGATAGGCGGGCTAGGTCGGCGGTCGCAATCATCCCTACCTACCATTGAAGCCGACTGCAGACTGTGCTGCGCCTGAATATACATGCCCTTGTTCTTTCCCAACTCTATTGATCCCCGCTGACCATTCTCACTTCACTAGCCCTCCCCGCCGTCCTTGCGCACAGCGGCGCTATCGAGATCCCCGCCATGATCATGTCCATCATTGGCGGTCTGTTGATCTACGGAACTATCATCAGTTTCTCCATGTTCTTCCGGGAACAGGAAGACTTCTAAATTGCCATGCGCACCGATATCTGCAAGACCAGATTTCGCATTGGATACCCGCTCGCAGATTGTTGATCGACCTTTTGAAGCAAGCCGCCTTCCATGTTCTTGACCAATGCACCTTTATGAGACATCGTTTTGATTTGACGTATGCTAGGCGTACTGATGTGTTTTTTGATGCCCCGGGAGTAACTAGCTGTTGATTCCACTCTCGTTGTTCGATGATACGATTGATGTACTATAGCCAGTACGAGGTTATATAGAAACTCTGCCAGTGCAGTGTGATACATTCCTTCATTCAAATGTATAACACATGCCTCCACCTCTTTCTCTTAAACCTTGGAGATGCCGATGTCTTCCGCTCTGTAATTGTGCCTAAATGGCGGTCACGTGGGTGCGCGCCGCCTGGGCGCGTCGTGTAAAATTACCCGCGCCGACTGGTGAGTGAGCGTGCAACAATGATCCAATATCGTCAGTTATAACACGAGTAATATGTGAACGAGTTATTCCTTGTCCTTCTAACATGAATGTATGGTCTGGCACAATATCGCTGGATGGAGGCACACAACTCCAAGGTGAGCCTCGCCATCCACCCGGCTACATTCGCCCTACTCATCACCAAAGCTAGGCCTGCAATTGATTGACCGGTCGTCGAACTGGCAACCAGACATTGGCAAAGACTCCGCGCTCAGCCTTCGCTGTTTCGTTAACCCGTCCCTCATACCACTCTATGCACGATGTGGTCCCAATCTCGAAGTTCACACAAATAGGCCGCAGACCTCGCAATGGCTGACGGACAAGCTGACGGGCACTATCTGGTTGGAAGATGATGACTTGGATCGGTTGCAGACGCTACAATGCCCAATTGGGCTGCTCGTGGGGATTGACAATGATGCACGGACAAAGACTTCTGAAGCCAACACGACCGATCTCTTGATACACGGAATGCTGTCAACCACGACATCCTACGAACGACCGCCCACCCCGCCTGTCTCTTCACCGGAGCTAGACCACCAGCCGTCTCAAGTTATAAGACAGGAACTGAGAATATATGCCACTCCAATCTCTGCACATCTCATTGCCAAAACCCAATCTCTCCCATCTCCACAAGATACCGATGGCCACGGTCGATCCCCTCAGTTCCTTCCGGACATTCGCTCGCCAAGTCCCAAGCGCAGACGTGTAGCAACGCTCTTCGAATCAGTGGCGCAGCATCATAAGAGAGTACGGCAGAAGGGAGGCGAGGCTGTATCGCAGTTAATGGCGCGATCACTCTCCCAGTCGTCCCAGCAACTGCAAGGCCTTCGGGTCAAGCGAGAGTCAGAGGAGCCTTCCCTTCCCCAATTGGACCGGATCGCCTCACAGCGGTCCCGCTCTGTATCTATTGGAGCAAATCTCAACACCAAACTTCTGGAAGCTCGATCAGAGCAGTCGAGGCCAAGCAGCAGACGGGGCTACGTGCGCGAACTGAACTCTCGGAGAGGCACGCCAAACCCATTCGTGGAGTCATCATTACGAAGAGAAAAAGAATTGTCACCGGAATTGCCGTCTGAAGGGAAGATTGAGTCTCTAACTGCGCCCAAGGATGCCGATACCATTATTGTGGAGAACAAAAACACGATAACGCGGACAATCTTGACCTGCATGCGGCTTTACGGCTTCAACCGTGCTACAGCACGCTCCGCGAGCTCGAGCAGGCCGCAAACCGGGACCGGCAGCCATGATATGGTCACTGCGAATGATGAGGGTTTTTCCAACACCGATGAAGATGAATTCAAGGCAATGTACCATGCGACCTATCGCGCATCAACCTTTGCACTGCGGAAGTATCTGAAAGAGCCGTCTTCAGGCGAAAACGACTCGCCGAATAAGCCACCACTATTGGAGAAGGGGAAAGCAATGACGTACATTGATGAGTTCTTGAAATTGTTTTGCGAGGAGAATTAAGTCTGTCTGGTACAGATAACGAGTGATGAGTTACGAAGTATATAGCACAGCGATATTGTTTGAAGCCAGGAAGCTATCAATGTTTATCCAAGGTGTATACCATCACGTCACAGCACAAACATACGTGCCATATTTGCAAAAAGGAACCTTACCCTATTTAATTTTGGTATCTCATAAACAAAAGGTGCTATTTACAATAAGCAGCACCGCATGAAGGATTCCCTTCTACAGGAAGTAGATAGATAGTACTAGGGAGCATAGATCGGGCAGGTGATTTTCCGGCCCCGGCACTGCATCATCGCCGGCTTCCCCGAACAGCTCCAACCAACCCGCCGATCCAGCCATACGGTGATACCATCTTCAGTGCTGGCACACACCCCATTCTTCGGAATCACATCTTACTTTTACTGATAATATACCCCCAGCAAAATGGACGTCTCTAACAACCGTCTTTTTCGCTGGTCCAAGCCCGAATGGCTTAACAACTCCGCCGTGCGCAACGCAGGCGTGTACACCTCCGGCGCACTGGTAAGCTCCCATCGTCACCATCACCACCACCATCAAGCAACGCAACCACTCACATGGCAGTAGTTCTCCCTGGGTTTCTTCTTTCTCATCGACGCCGCCGCTTTCTCCCACAGCGCTCGTAACGGCTCCTTCGTGCACGTCAAATTCGTCGACTGGATCCCCGGCATCTGCTCCGCGCTGGGAATGCTCGTTATCAATTCGATCGAGAAGTCGCGTCTTCATGCCGATAGCTTCAGTTATAGTGGGAGTGGGGTTGCGTGGAAGGCGAGGTTTGTGCTGTTCTTGGGATTTGCGTTGCTCGCGGGTGGATTGGCTGGGAGTGTGGTCAGTATTCACCTACATATAATTCCTTCCCTTGTTACCCTCTTATCTGTTGTTTAGGGTATCGGGGTCGCCGGAGTAGAGTGGTTAGGCTAACACATGGCAATATAGACGGTCATGGTACTCAAATACCTGGTCCAGGGGTATCCCCTTCCGACACTCTACTTTGGTATTGCGAATGTTATTGCAAATGGACTGGTTATGCTGAGGTGTGTATTCCGTAGGAAAACACAAGCAGGAACATATTTACTAATGAACTTTGCGATTGCAGCACCATCGTCCTATGGATCTCCCAGAATATAGAAGACGATTACACCTATAACCTTGCTCTGTGATGGATGGATACCCCATACGAGATGAGATGGTCTAGTTGTGGTGCTGATTGATTGATTGATTGATTGATTGGCTGGTATGAGATGAAAGCGATACTAGTACTCCGCGACGTGTTATTGTATTATGAATGTGCGCTTCTTTCATGTGATCGGTCTTTACTACTACTTCTTGTTCCTTGATGGAATCATGGAGGTCAATTACTCTTTATGATGGTTGTCGTGTTGTTGTATAAAGCAATGGCTGCATTGAGTGGTCTGCATCCTTCTTGTTTGGTTATTAGGTAGTTCTGTTTTTAGCATGCTTGTTACAAATTATGACTATGGATATCATTCGACGGATCTAAGTTTTCCTGTAGTTCTTTAAGCGTGGAATGACGTTCCTTGCCGGAACTTGATAACAGGCATCCATTTAACCACCACCGGTGTTGGTCGTGATATACTACACGGCAGGAGCCGAGCAGAGACACGCGTTGCCAAGATCAGGTCAATGGAGATTCTCAGGCAACAATATAGTACGCTATCTTAAGCTGTCTGAAATTGTAACTTGAAAGGAAATACTAGTAGTACGTAGTGTCACGAAGCATATCCGATGTCTTTATATTTCTTGGCATGATGCGCATGAGACATATCAAAACAGCGCAGGGTATCTAATTCTAGGCAGCCATGTGGACTGCCAAGGACGGTAACTAGTACCTCTAACTAGCCATGCACCATGTTCCATGATCTGTATTTTATTTTGGGATCAGGT